TATCAACCTTCCTCCTTCCTTTCCAGCTCATCCTTCCTCTTTCTCTCTGTCTTCTCCCTTATTCTTCCTCTCTCAAACCCAGATCTGGGTTTTTCTCAGTCGTGTCATGTTCTGGATTTGGGAACATATATGTATGCGTTGAAAGATGACAAAACTCTATGGTAGAAAGACATGGCTAAAGGGAAATGATAGATTGAGGACTCAAATGTGGCTAGAAGGAAAACTTCTGCAAAAATCAAAGGAATTTGGGGAAAATTAAAAAAGATGAGAGGGGATTATGAGTGAAAGCTAGCAATTTAAAAGATGTTAGGGTTTAGGGATTCCATCTTTTTCTCTTCACCTCAAAAGAATTTCTGGGTGTTTTAAGAGTTGAAAAAGGGTGAAATTCGTGGAGGAGAAGGGAAAATCCAGAATTAGTCCCTGATTTTCAAGGCAAAAATACAAGATTTCTTTAAGCAAAAATAAGGAACCAATCAAAATTCAGAGAACTTGACCTCTCTTTGATCTTTCCCATCATCTTTTATCAATTTCAAGGATTCAATGCACTTTACTCCGTTTCTTACCAAAACCTATCAACTGGTCGACTATCCCGCCATGGATGACTTGATTTCCTGGAACGATGATGGATCAACGTTCATCGTGTGGCGACCCGCAGAATTCGTCAGGGATTTGCTTCCTAAATACTTCAAGCATAACAACTTTTCAAGTTTCGTTCGCCAGCTTAACACTAATGTAAGTGATTTGAAGTAATAATTATTATTATTATTATTTTTGAAGTTGAACTCATGAAGTCAAGAAATCTGTTTGAATGAATTGCAGTTTACAATTTTAATCCGTTTTCTTATCGATCAGTTTAGAACTGTTGAATTTGTAGGGATTTAGAAAGGTAGTGCTGGATCGATGGGAATTTGCGAATGATTGTTTTAGGAGAGGCGAAAAAGGACTTCTCCACGATATACAGCGTCGGAAGATAACTCCTCCTGCTCCGATTGCCGGAACTGTGACGGTGGCAGTTGTGCTGGTGGTTCAAGCAATAGCGCGTACTGTGTCCCGTTCAACTTCGGAGACGAGCAGCTCATCTCCGCAAATTCATCCCCCATTGCGACAACGCTACAACGCACCACAGGCTGCACCACTACGCTGGAGCTTCTAGCAAAAACCTAGATCTAGGTTTGAGAGAGGAAGAAGAAGGGAAAAGAGAGAGAGAAAGAGTAAGAAGAAGAAAGAAGAAGGATGAGTAAGGAAAGGAAGGAGGAAGGTTGATAAAGAATGAGGCAAAACTGTGGAAGGAGGAAAGGAGGAAGAAGATGAAGTTTGAGAGAGAACCT